AAATAAAATAAATAAAATAAGCAAAATTAAAAAAATAAAATAAAATAATATTAAGACAATAATATAATATAAAAATATAATATAACTTTTATATTTATTAAAAATTAGTTTGTATAAAAACACTTTTCAAATAATCGAGGTAACACAAAATACTTGAAACGAAACGAGGCATATGTTCGATCCATTCGTGTGATCTCATGGATTGGGTTAGGTGACATGCTCACTTGTCCTAAATCCTGAACATTGGAACACATGAATGTAACTGCTCCAACCGCCACTTTATCAGTGATCCAAGTGTTCTCTGGGTTAATTTGGAGCATGCGACGCGAACAAGCCTTTAGTGTTTAATGTTTCAATAAAACTGGTGCAAAAAACTTGCACTAAGTTCAACTTTTGCTCCACTGTCTTCGAACCCAATGCAAGTTGAAATTGAAGTTGTGTTTGTGCTAAGGTATGATATTATGATATAATATTACATTATCATATAATTAATATCCCAGCAAGCGAGAATGGATTGAAATGATTCAGATTTTCAGAAATATTGATTCACGAATGCTAAAATGAATGCTTTTTAATCCTGAATTTTTATTCATTTGTAGGAATTGCATGGAGCATATCTCTATGCCTTTCAATCTAAAAATAATATTAGCTTTTTCTGCAAAACACACATGTTATGAATATTGTTCAAAATTTTGAATAGAAAATGCAGTTTTTCAATCGGATTGCATCCAATTGAATCCAATTAAATCCAAAAAAGTATTCGCTATTTAAAATAGATAGAATTTAGATAGAAATTAGCATTTAGATAGAAAAAAATTTCAATCCATTCTTGTTTGCTGAGAACATATCATTAAACATTCATTTTATCGACATCCATTTTATAACACCCTAAAAAAATATATAATTACAGATCCTCTTAATTGGAATTCTTTTCGTGCAATTCACTCTTTTATCAATCACCTCCATTGTCGATTTTATAAATGTTATATTCTCTGTATTTCTTGCTCTTCTTGTTGTTCCACATACATAGCAAAAGTTGTAAGAGTCAACAACTTTTTCAATTTTGACTTTCTTGCTGAGTTATTCATATTCAAACTAACATTGAATAGGTAAATAAGTTATGTACATTAGTTTTTTTCAATTAAAAATAGTTCGTATTTTTATTTCATGTATATCAATAATTTTTAATAGTTAAAAAATATTTTTAGCTTTGTTTATTATATTTTCCGAATAATCAAAATAAATTAAAATTTACTCTGAACACTTGAAGGAACTTCTACTTGACCTTCTACTTGAAGGAACATTGATACCGAATATGCTCTGTTTCATGTGTCTTTTATTTTAATTAAGATTTTTGAGACTTCCACGAGTACTTTCTATATAAATATTTTGCGTTTTCTCCGCGTCCAGA